CGTTGCTCCTTGTTATGCTGTCTCAAGCACTGTAAATAATCCCTCCCCCTCCTCCATATTATTACCTCTCAAATATTTATAGACTGTTATATCCACCCTTAGTCTCCTTTTCTACAAGCCATACATCATTTTTGTCATCCTTCCCTCTATCCTTTCAGATTTATCTATGTCCTTTTATAATGAGATGCTCAAAACTCCTTTGCAGCGTTCCCAAGTACAGCAAAACAAGAGCAGCAGAGAGAAGCAGAAACACCCACCTTGCTTCACAAACAATGCCTTTTTAAATAACTCATGAGCAAAATGCAGGTGATTTCAGTAGGAACTGAAAATTACAAAGCCATGGTCACCACACTGTGGAGTACTTCGTTCATTACACAGTTGTTCTAGTCAGAAATTAAAAAAGCCTATTAGGAGAAAGTTTTACCCCAAACCAATGAATGATTGTTCAAAGCAAAACACTCCCTGAATATTTACTTAGTCCAGCTTGAAAGAGATTTAGCAACTGAAAAAAACACTACACAGGCAGAAGGCCATCTCCAGCAACTGTTTCCCACGACAACCTCTACTTCCTGCTGTGGAAATAATGCCAGTGCAAGAAGACAGGTAAGACAGTTCAGTTCACAAGCTTTTACAAGAGACACATGCAAACGTGGTTCTTTTCTTCTCGTCTTAATTGCAGCAAAACAGGTGATTATGGATGGAAAGGTATTAGTTATTCACAGGTAAAGGATGTGAAACTTGATTCTTTGCTAGCTGTTACAATAGTAAAGTCACTCTTTTATTCTGAACAGAGATTTGTTGGCTGAGGGAGAAGCTGGGGAAAAGCAGCAGGAAGCAATGGATGGGGCTGCCTGGCTCTCGGTATCAAAGGAGAGTTGGCAGAACCAGGAGGCATTCAACAACTAAAACTGGTGAAGAAGTACTAGTGGGCACAGCAGGAGAAAATAATCATTAGAAAGTAAAAAGGAGACAAAGGCAAAGGGAAAAAAGCAGGATGATGGACCAGTAACCACTGCAGAGCCACCAAGACCTCTGAGGACATGCAGCCATCACGTCAGCCCTGGCAGAGGCAGGCAAAGCAGCTAATGCTTCCTTCTCCTTACTGCTCAGCCCTGCTGAAGCTGCTGCCACCTGAACTAGCAATCCTCTCCACCACCTGTCAACCCCCATGATGCAAATTTTCTGTTGAAATTTATGGTAGATCTAGTCATTGAGTGTTCTAAGGTCAAAGGAATCAGGATTTCTTTCCCAGGCTTGCAAATGCTAATCAGTATTGAGGCTGGCTGAATTTCAAATTTCAATACATTGACTTAATGTCAATACAAAAAAAGTAGGCATTTCATAGATTCACAGAATAGTTTAGGTTGGAATGGACCTCTAGAGGCCAGCTGGCCCAAAGTCTGCTCAAAGGTGGGCCAGCTTCTCAGTTGAATCATGTTGCTCAGGCACCACCCAGCTGAGTTTTGAGTCTCCCCAGGGAGACCCCCCAGGGAGCCAATGTGAAATCAACCACCAGAGAGCACAGGAGCAGGAGCTGGCACTTAGCATCACGCAGCAATCCCGTCTACATTGGATGCTTCTAAATTGGGCCAACATGAGCACAGAACAACAGAAAGGAGTGCCTTCCAGTACCTTCCAGTCATCAGGTCATCTAATGTTGCAGTCACCTCAGCCCATACGCCAAATGCCAAACATAACCCACAGTCCATGACGAGAAGCAAATAAAATGTAGGAAAGGTGAAATGCACTGTCTCCTTCCTTTAGTGTGAGCAGCTCTCACTCAAAGTTGTTTCATGATCATGCCTCCTCCTTCCATGCCCTGGTGATTTCTAAATATTAAAATGGCAGAGGTACCAAACTAACATAGAACAGGGAAGAACCCATGTATTGAAAACTTAGTATGTGTGAAAGGCATGTTTTAAATGCCTCACAATAGTCTTTTGCCGAGTTTTGTACACCAGTTGTACTAACAAGATGTACTTACCCTAGAGACAGAAGGACAACGACTTTAGATGTGCTGGGATTACGACTTTTTGCTGTTCTGTACAACTAAATGGCCTCTGCACTCAGTAACCTGCAACCTTTTAAGGGAAAATGCAAAGAAACTACAAAATCTGTTTGCAAGAGGTTCTGGTAATGCCCCGTGACCACAGTCTGTTCCTTTCCAACTACTCTGCAAACTCCTAGTCTGCTTTTGAGTGGGGAAGATATGCTCTGTCCAAAGTAAACAGTTTCTGAGCTTGAGATGGTAAATACACAAACCCCTACGCTATGACTGTGATAATTCATTTTTCCCCTTTTCAAAAAACGCACGATCTGAAAAATTGTCTCTGGTCTCCCCAGGTGTCACAATATTTCTGATGTGCCAACAAAACGGATACAGTGAGGAAAGACTCTCTCTCTGGCACTATGTCTGATTTGTGTGACTCCTTCACACATTACTCCTGTGCTGGCAAACAACACACTGCATGATGTGAGTCCAAAAGAAAAACTGCTCTTCTGAAGCCCAAAGCTTACAGGAGGAACAGAATTACCACTGTCAAAACCATCTCTTGCCCAGTCTAATGTGTGTTGTACAGGGCACACTGCACTCCCAGGAGCCACCAGTTCCCATGGGGCTTGCAGGGAGCTGCTGACTTCCCCTGCCACAAAGGGTTTCACTGTCTCCGCCTGCCTTAATGATTATGGTAAATTCTTGCAAAATCAGAATCTCAGCCTACCAAACTGAGGCACTGTGATACTTGCTCTGACAGGGTCTCTCATTTTGCTTGCAGTTGAGGGTACCAATAAAATGATAAAACAGCAATGCAAGAATCATTTGAGGTCCTGAAACAGCCTGACACCTACAAGATGCACAGCCAGCCAAGAACTTTCATCAACATCACACCTGGCAGTTTCTGATGTAACCAGAGATCTTTATACGCTAAAAAAGAAAGCATCAGAATATTTAAGCAGTATTTCTCACTGAAAAATCAGACTTTCGAGGGTGAAGCCTATACTCTGACATCAGATTAAGCCAAGCTACAGGTCTGGCTGAAGGCAGAGCACCTTCTGCAGCTTCAGACCCAGTACGCAGACACTGGTGGTGTTAAATCCATACCCATGAGTACTTACACAGCTTTCAATAGATGAATCTACCAAAATTATCTGGGACAGAACTCCATGCAGTGCAGTTGCTTTTGAGCTACACATGAATTTCTGTTGCTATTTAGGTGCCTAAAAAGAAAATTATGAATCGAATTTCCTATTTATTCCCAGATTCTTCCATTCCTGGTAAACAAAACTGATCCTGCCTTGATTCTTGGCTGTGAGCTCTTCTCTGTGGAGATGAAGCTGTGCGTTTTAAATGTTGTCACCTACACACAGTTATTTAGTAAAATGCTTGAGAAACAATGCATTTGAATTCCTCACAAAGGAAAACCTACTGTAAGAAAGATGACTACAAACCATTTACAATTGCTTTGACCAAAAATTTTCAGGCAATTCAAATTACTTTAAAATTAGGTATTTTTATGTTTTCAAGTCTTTATACAAGCATGTGAATTGTCTTAAGCTTGCTTAATGTTTTTCATTACAAGACCATAATTTAATTCAATTAATAAGAAATTAATATTAAAGTGGATTAATAAATCAAATACCTCTACTGACATTTCAAAAACATTAAAATCCAAGCTTATGCAAATTTGCTGACAGTAAGACAATTCAATTTCTTGGCCTTTCTGTATAACAAGGGTTTTCTTGTTCTCCTGAGTTACACATAACCTCTATACATTACCAAATATACTACTTTAATCTTTAGCCAGCTTTTTCCATGTCTATAGGCAGAGCATGCAGTAATCCAAATATGAACAGAGTAACTGCGTCAATTCAAAGGTGACACTAACATGACTGCAATAATGAAAACAAAAAAGGTAATAAAAAGCTATTTATTGTTTTATCAACCAGCTCTTTTAAAAGCTTCCCAAATAAATTCCTCCACATTTCTCTGAAACTGCCTGTCTGCAATGGATTCAACAAATCCATCTGACAAGGCTTTAAATGATGTGCAAAACAGGGATGTAGTCTGACAGACACATACATGCACTGTCCTTTTTTTAGTTAATGTAAGGCATTGTCCATGTTAGAAACACCTTTTTAACTGGCTAGTATATTCACTTGCATTATTGACTTCAGCACAGATGATCAAAAATGAAATGAAATTTCCTTTTCCTTTCCTCTACATTTGTTTGCTTTTTTCTTTCTTCTGTCTATACAGCAGAAGTAAATTACATCAGTTTCATTTTAATACATACTAAATTGCTGTATCTGTCAGGCATAAGCTCTGCATAGGAAAAAGCATTTTGGCTACAGTCTTCACTTCAGCACCCTTAACTCCCAGTTGTGCTTAGTCACGGTTTTACTGAATCAGCAGACAAATATTGGGGGGGTTGGGGGTTTTTTTGTTCGTTTTGTTTGTCTTACAAAGGTTAAATGCAATACAGTAAGGTGTAGTAGAGTGAAAGGACTGTGTCAGTCTCTAATTCATTACACCTGGCCACACAAAACGGAGGTACTACCACATCAAGTCTCATCAGGTGGGGTCAGTGACATTGCCTACGTACCTGGCTCCTATACAATGCTGAAAACTCTCCAGTTTTGAAGAAGATATACGGCCAGCCAACACACAGTTGCCAGGACTGTGGCATAAGCACATATTTTGGGAGAAAGGAGAAAAGCTCTTCATAAACCTGTATTTGCAGGTATATACCCTATTGAATTCAATTACAGCGCCAGTCTCCACCAATCTAATTTTGATTGTCAAGTAAAAATAATAAATTAAAATATGAAAGACTGATCCTAGGTTCTTCCCTTTTGCTAACTGTACCAACAGTGCAACATCATTCTTGGAGAGGGGAGTCTCCACCACCTTGCTGCTGCAGAGAAGAGGTGCAACAGCAGGCAGGCAAAAGCAACGCCAGCCCTTGCTCCAAGCAGTAAACATTGCTCTCCCAGCACTTTACCTGACGCTGTGCTAGCTGCTGTCACGGCTGTACTCGTCGAGTGCACAGGGCTGCTCCTTTCCAACACGAGACAAGAGCTGCCACCACTGTTCTTCTTAATGAACGTTTCGGGGGCACTGGGCAGGGGCACCGGGCGGCTGATTCCCAGTTCCTCTTCCTGAGCTTGCTGCCTTCTCAGTGCAACCTGGGAACAAGCAGACAGATGTAGCACGCTCTCTGGCTTGAACACAATTTATAATGGCAGCAATGGAAGACTCAAACTCAAGGCTGTTTTTTCCTCTTGGCACTCTCTAAAGGACGTTATACAGCTGTTTAAAACCAACCCCTTTTTTTGTCCAAACATACATGAACAAACCTATGAAACACTGATGCCACATACATCTTCCTCCAACAAGGCCACACGAAGATGAATTAAAGCTGACTGCACTCACCCGACACGGTTGCTCTTGAGCAAAGCATACTGTGAAAAGTGTAGTCACAACCCTCCTCTCTGCTGATACACAGCTGCTGCTCACAAGCAATTCATCTATTTGCAGGGCTTTGCTGTGCTTCTTCATCAATATAAAACAGCTCTTCATGTGGGGTTATACCTACAATGTGCTGCTCTGTCCAAGCCTGCTGGGCCCCCTCTCTGGTTCTCTGCTGGAAATCTATCCCTTCAAGGGTATTTCAGTGCAGAGTACACTGTACGCAGAGATCCATCATGGGAGAAGTACAGCAAATGTGGGGAATCATCCTGCAAGCATCCTCAGAGAGATCACACACCCTGAAGGTAGGTGGCCAGGCCTGGAGCAGTGGAAGCTCCCCATTTCTTTCCCAACGCTGACAACGTTCCAAAGCCTAGCCGGCACTGGTCAAGCCCACAGACTCTAGTCTGGACACAAGTGCAAACAAACCATATTCATTGCTTACTGAAGATAGAGAGGAGCACTTCTGACTCACCTGCAAGGCAGATCAGTCTAGCACAGCTGTCCACCCATGTCAAGTTCCGATATGTGTCCAGGTGATGTATATGACACTGGGGGTCCTACAGCAACTACCTACCCTACCTACCCTGCAACTTGCTGGGCGACTTCTTTGTGTCTGTATTTGAACCTTGGAAATCTGTCCCAGATTACAGACTGGGATAATAGGCTTTTCTTGCTGAAAATTCTCCTGGGTAACTTGGACAAGACTTCCCTCCATTTCCATGTTGAACAGCAACATTTTTCTAATACAGATGTGTAATACCATTAGATAAATTAATACTAGCTCTTGCAGTAGAGACATCCCAAACAGGGGGCGTAGACTTGCAAACACCACCGGTAACTTTGACTTCACAAGCCAATAACCTTGACCTGTAAAATTCCTGCAGCGCCAAGGGGCTTATTGCAGAAATATATCAAAAGGGGGAACGACAGACTTTCAATGTGTAACTCCTACACAGATAAGGTTTAGTTAGGGAGGCTTTCAAAGCCACTTCTAAATACTAGGCAGGGAAGAGAAAATCCCCCAGGAGGGCCACCGCCAGGACCTGCTAGCAGGAGGCATTCAACAGTCGACAGAATCTGCTGGGCAGCAGAACAGTCTGTGAAGAAAGGGACATTTGCACGGGCAACACCCCATTTCGTGCTCCCTCCCCCGAGGCAGGCAACAAGGGGATCCAGTATTATTTCGTGGTTACCCAGGCTGAGAAAGTGCGTGTAGCTTGGGCGTAACAATTTCTGGGCTGCTGTGCTACCGACAAGGAGTAAATACGTAAACGAACAAAAGCTCCCAGTGAGTTCAGAGGACGTTTACTATACTTGCACTGAATAATTAAATAAAAAAGTGGGCAGGATTTTATCCAGGGCTGCTAAAGTTTTAAAAATCTGTCAGTGGGACGCTCATTTTATGCGGGATCATGAAGCTCTGAGTGCACATCAGTTGCAAACTGTGTCCGTGGTATCACCGCCTTTGCGTACATCAGTAGTCCTAACGCCTTCCAATTAATTAGTCCGCAGGGGACTAGGTGCACGAAAGAGAAGGTGGAAGCCCACTCACGGAGCTCAAGCAATTACGCGCCCAGGACGCCTCTTAATTAAGTTTTAAAGATAAGGATCACAAGGACTAATGCAGCAGTCATATACATTGCCAGAGTTCGGCTTCAGCCGGACCACCTAACGAAAAAGGTTTTTCCTGTACAGAACTGGATGCGGTTTGGTTTCTTAGCAAATACTACCGAGTCCTCGTTTAGATGGAAGATGACCCAGCTACACAGCTATTTACAGACTCGCTCTATGCAAAATCATGAATAACGTGGTTAAAAAAAATAGTCTTTTTTCGAAATGCACTCAACTAAAGCTACCTAGCACCAGGGAAAGCAGATGTACTGAATCTGAAACCACCAGTGGGAAATACTCTCGCTAACCAATTAGTTGGCTTGAATACTCACTATCTAGTTAAAAACAAGCTGGAAAACGGCAATTTGACGTTAACTAGAAGTCTTCCTCTCGGGAGGTTTTAAAATAGACCCGCGCACCCCGGGGCTGCCCGCGCGTTCCGCCTCTGCCCCTTCCCGGCGGGGCAGCCCGCAGCCCGGCTCCCGGGGAGCAGCCGAGC